CCCACACACTATCACACACACACACACACACACACACACACACACACACACACACACACATATATATATATATATATATATATATATATATATATTTATCACGCACCCAAAAAAATCCAAGCAAAAAACATATCAAAAATTACTCTTCGTATTGTCGTGGCTGTGTGTGTGTGTGCGTGTGCGTGCGTGTGCGTGTGCGTGTGCGTGCGTGCGTGCGTGCGTGTGTGTGAAATAAACACAGGAGTGCTTTAAAAAAACACTAACTGTAACTACAACAAAAATGTCAATGGCTTTCATCTCTATCCATCCATCCATCCATCCATCCATTTTTTGATCCCCTTTATCCTCACAAGGGTCGCGGGGCATGCTGGAGCCTATGCCAGCTGTCTTTGAGCAGTCGGTGGTTGCCGGTTGCCAGCAAATCACAGGGCACACACAGACGAACAACCGCGCTCACACTCACAGTAGGGACAATTTAGAGTGTTCAGTCAGCCTGTCATACATGTTTTTGGAATGTGGGAGGAAACCAGAGTACCCGGAGAAAATCCACGCAGGCACGGGAAGAACATGCAAACTCCACACAGGGAGGCCGGAGCTGGAATTGAACCCGGTAGCTCTGCACTGTGAGGTCGACATGCTAACCACTCGAACACCAGGCCGCCCCTGGCTTTCATCTTTGTCAGTTAATTTCATACAGTACCTTTCAGGGGTTCATTTTAAAGAAAATGATGAATGATGATGGAAAAAAAAAAGTCAAATCGAATCAAGGTCAAAGAGACATCAGGAATTACTTTCGACAATACTTGATAATGCAACCTTTTCTTCCTTTTGTTGCACTCAACAAATACTCCATAATTTATATCCTGGTAAATTGTAGTCAGAGACAATATTTTCTTAATTTCCAATCTTAAAAGGAAATGCCGTAAAGGAACACCCTTTGAGGATGTTTGTCTCCTAGGTAAAAAAAAAAAAAAAATGCCAGACTTTATTTGTAGTTTGAAGTCGAACGAGCTGAGCATGAAAAATCAGCGCGAGGGCACTCTCTGGCTCCTTCACTTCTACTTGTATCGTCAAGTCACCTGCAGCACTCTTATTTAGATGCCACGTCTCTTCACATGGGCACCCACAGGAGAACTCCACTCGTCTTGCCCGAGTGCCCCCCTTTAAAATGTTTCTTCGAGTATCACGGTCTGGAAAATGGAACATCTCGGCTACATCCTTTCTAAATTACCCCTGCAGATTTGCACCTTTACAAATACAAGCAAGCCTACTGTTGTTTTTGCCAGAATAATGAAGCCAGGGCCTTGTATAATGATGATTAAAGAGACTTGCACGCATTGAAGTTTTATCAGCAAAACAACATAGGATAATTACAGTATAGGTAATGAAAACAAACCTGGGAGGAGAGATCGAGGAGGCAACGCGCATTAAACTCAGACCAGAATAGCAGCAGATTCATCCGAAGATAAGAATGGAAAATGAGGAACTGCAGGGTAATAATTCACAGCGCATATAGATTTTCCACCTAGAAATGGAGCTGACTATAGCCTTCACAAATTCACACACTTTTTTTGCTGCTGTCAGCCCGTGCGGGATGAACATTTGCAGATCTGCTTTCTTTCACCAGGTGATTTGGATCTGATAGTGTGGGGTCTCCAGACCATGGGGATTAGGCTTGTGGACACTAATTACCAAGCCTGTCAACTCCCAAGGCCTGCAGGATTCAGATAAATGAAGTCGGAATACTCTGCGGCGAACTCACACATGCGGCCTGCCGTTTGGTGATGCCAGATGAATACAAGCAGCTGGTTCTGGATGGATGCCAGCTTAGAAAATTCAATTTGGAGAGCACTGGTCAGTCACTAATGTGCCA